ATTACCTGGGCTGTATGGTGGGCACCTGTAATCCCAGCTACTCGGGAGGCTGAGGCAGGAGAATTGCTTGACCTTGGGAGGCAGAGGGTGCAGGGAGCCAGGGCGCCACTGCACTCCAGCCTGGGCGACAGGGTGAGACTCCGTCTCCAAAATAAATAGATGAATAAAAAAATTCGTGACTCATTCACTTGCGTCAGGTATCTGCTCTAAGTCAGCTTTTCTGAGATACCTTCCTGCCCCTCCAACCCCTGGTTCCAGCCTCTTCACTCTGCTTTATTTTCTATGTAGCACTTATCACCCCAGACCTGGACATTTCTTTTTTTCTTTTTTCTTTTTTTGAGATGGAGTCTCGCTCTGTGGCCCAATCTGGAGTGTAGTGGCCCGATCTTGGCTCACTGCAACCTCTGCCTCCTGGGTTCAAGCGATTCTCCTGCTTCAGCCTCCCAAGTAGCTGGGATTACAGGCATGCACCGCCATGCCCAGCTAAGTTTTATATTTTTAGTAGAGACGGGGTTTTGCCATGTTGGCCAGGCTGGTCTTGAACTCCTGACATCAGCTGATCCGCCTGCCTCGACCTCCCAAAGTGTTGGGATTACAGGTGTGAGCCACCGCGCCCAGCCTATTTCTTTACTATATGCTGTTGTCTGCTTTCCTTTCACTAGGGTATGATCTTTTCCTGTTTGTTACCAGATGTTTCTACTCCAGCACCCAGAAAAGTGCCTGGAACATAGCAGGTGCCCAATAAATGGCCTGACAAGTGAGTGAAGAAATAAGTTAAGGAATGAATTGAACTCCACTTACAGATGAAGAAAGTGAAGTTTCCAGAAGAGGCATGACTTGTGGGAGGTCTCACAGCTGGTAAGGGAAAGCCTTGAGATTCTAATCCATGTTCTTTTTTTTAAAAAAATGTTATTTATTTATTAATTATTTTCTTAGAGACAGAGTCTTGCTCTGTCACTCAGGCTGGAGTGCAGGCATTTATGGGATTTAGCTGAGGGGAAGGTGAAGTGAGAATACATTAAGATTGGGCTTAGAGGGATATTTTTATGTGGGTCATAGATACTTCTTGGGTACTTAAACCACCTGATTAGTTGTCACGGTGTAGAAATGGCTTCCCGGAGTGCTTCCATTGTGTAAGGTACTAACTCACTAGATGCGAGGCCACAGCCTACTAATGGCATAAATGTGTCTTTTAGCTGCTCATTCGAGAAGCATCTGTGTAACAGAAGTGTCAAGAATTGAAAGGAAGCGTGCGTGGTGGCTCACACCTGTAATCCCAGCATTTTGGGAGGCTGAGGTGGGAGGATTGCTTGAGCTCAAGAGTTCGAGACCAACCTGGGCAACATAGTGAAACCCCATTTCTACTAAAAACAAATTTAAAAAAATTAGCCAGACTTGATGGCGTGTGCCTGTAGTACCAGCTACCTGGGAGGGTAAGGCAGGAGGATCACTTCAGCTCAGGAGTTCAAGGCTGCAGTAAGCCATGAACATCCCACAGCTCTCCAGCCTGGCGATGAAGTGAGACCCTGTCTAAACAAACAAACAAACAAACCAACAAACCAACAAACAAAAAATTGAAAGGATTGAGGCAGAAGTTAGTCTGTGGAAACATTTTCCAAAACATAGTTAATATATGAACGAAACTTTATGAAAGTTTTCCTTTTTCTTTTCTTTTCTTTTTTTTTTTTTTGAGATGGCATCTCACTCTGTTGCCCAGGCTGGCGTGCAGTGGCATGATCTTGGCTTACTGCAACCTCCGCCTCCCGAGTTCAAGCGATTCTCCTGCCTCAGTCTCCTGAGTAGCTGGGATTACAGGCATTCGCCACTGCACCCAACTAATTTTTTTGTATTTTTAATAGAGACAGGGTTTCACCATGTTGGTCAGGCTGGTCTCGAACTCCTGACCTCGTGATTCACCTGCCGCGGCAAATCCCAAAGTGCTGGGATTACAGGCGTGAGCCACCACGCCAGGTTAAAAGTTTTTTTAGATTTGCAAAAGATTTAGATAACATTACCAATACTGATTTGTGAAGCTGAAACTTGTTCTAAATTATAATGAATTTTTAAAAAGTTCCATCAACCACACTAGAGGAAAGATAACTTACTTTTCTCTTTGTAGACAAGGATATTGTGAAACATGCAGCTGAAAAAGTAGGAAACGTCACACAGTTGTGTCAGGCAGAAAATTAATAAAAACATTACGTTATCCTTTGGGATTTTGCAATGTTTGTGGTATTTGGCTCTTTTAAATATGTAATTTGTTATTATTTCATATTCTAAGTAAACTTTCATATCATACAGTATTTTTTTTTCTTTAAACTTTGTTTTCCTTTCTTAAAGAGGGCTCTCCTCCCCCATCCCCGCGCTCAGTTCCTTTAGCTGGATCCTTCCAGTTCATGACTGATTGGTTTAAAATATGGGTCGTTCAAAAGCCGAGTGATCCCGGGCTAGTGGCTGTACCCCTCTGAGACAGTTTTCTTAGTGGTAAAATCGAAATCATAACAACTCTGCAGGGCTAATTATAAAGTTTAAACAAGCCAAGGCCTGCAAAATGCTTAGTGCAGGTTTGGAATGCACCGAGCGATGACAAATCTCAACCTGTCTTTATGCTGAGACCACTCCCCAGTTTCCGGAGCCGCGGCCACTATCTCCCCAGGCGCGTGCACACCCGGCTCTCCCTTCCAGGCCCTCCCCACCACGTGGGCGCGGCCTACCCTCCCTTAGCGGGTAATAAGCGGAGCCAAGGGGCTGCTTCCGGGATTCTTTCCCTTCCACTCTGGGGAACAACCCTTTTGTATGACTGGCAGCATTATTAACCAGTAGTGATTAGAGAAGAGCCCGACGGTAGGTGCTTCCCTCAAAATGGTTCGGAACTCCTCTTCCAAGTTAGCCAATTGGAAGCTTTGGAGGGCGGGTTCTCCTCTGGGGCGGGACAGAGTGACGGGTGTCTCTTTTGGCTAATGGAAACTTGGCTGCTTGTAAGCCATGACCAATCAGAAGCGAGAACGCAGGATCCTGGGGCGGGGCTGGAGCTTCGTCAGTTGAACCGCTCGCGAGGAGGGTTGCCAGTGGAGAAGGTGAGAGGCAGCCGGAGTGGCGGGTGCGCGGGCCGTGGTGGAGGTCTTGGGGGGAGGGGAGGGGGTTCTCTCTGGGGAGAGTGGCCTGCGGTGGGCAGCTGACCCGGCCTTGTCGGAATCAGGAGGGAGGGTGCCCTTTAACAAGGGTAGGTGCTTGATTGAGGTGTTGTGAGACTGAGCGCAGCGTGTGAGTTGGGGGTGATCTGTATATCGCAGGAGGGTCTTCAATGGGGAAAGTTGTAAAGCAGGAGACAGCAGATGGTAGAATATACAGATGCCCTTGAAATGCAGCGTGGCGATTTAGTAGGAGGTTTTAAGGCAGGGGGTCATTACAGCGCACTGTGATTTACAAGCTTTGATTTGGGTGAAAGTCGTGGGAAGAAGCAATCTTGAGGAAGGGAGGGAAGGAGACCTCCAGGGATAAGGATGTACTTTAAAGAGATATGAAGCCCTATTATGCCTGTGGCGTTTACTACATGCTGTGCACCTGCCAAGTGTTTTAGGTGAATTAACTCTTAAACTTACTCTACTGATGGTTAAGAGTGTGGGCTGTGGCGTCGGGTTGAATCCCGAATTTGAATCCTGGCTCTGCCGGCTTTGGGTGAGTTGTTTAACCCTTCTGTGCCTCAGCTTCATCATCGGTAGAATGACCTCATCTCTTTCTATACCATTGGCTAGCTTCACCCTCTTTATCTAATGAGAACTCCCAGCTGTGTATTTCCAGCCTGGATCTCTGCCCTGAACTCCAGACTCATATCGTGGCCGACTCTTCTCTATTTGGAAGTTCATCTGACATTCAGACATAAACTTGTCTCAAACCAAACTTGAGGTTTCTTCCTTTCAACCTCCAAACCCAGTTGATGGCACATTCATCCTGCCAGGTACTAAGATCAAGAAGCTTGGAGTGTTCTCTTTGTTTTGAGACAGAGTTTTGCTCTTGTTGCCCAGGCTGGAGTGCAATGGCGCTATCTCGGCTCACTGCAACCTCCGCCTCCCGGGTTCAAGGGAATTACAGGCGCCTGCCAATTGTTTGTATTTTTAGTAGAGAAGGGGTTTCACTAAGTTGGCCAGGCTGGTCTCGAACTCCTGACCTCAGGCGATCCACTCGCCTCAGCCTCCCGCAGTGTTGGGATTACAGGTGTGAGCCATGGTGCCCGCCTAGCTTGGAGTGTTCTTCATTCCTCCCTTTTGTCTCACTTATATATGGTCTAGCAGATCGCATTAGCTCTGTTTTCAAAACACATGCAGAATCCAACCACGCCTCACCGGCTCCTTTGCTACCACTCTGGCCTAAGTTGTCCCCTGCTCTTATCTGGTCTGTTGCAGTGGCCTTCCAGGTGGGCTCCCTGCCTCTCACTGTTAGGAGGATCCTAGTAGAACAGAAGTCAGGTCAGGTTGCTCCTCCTTTCAAATCCTGTCCTGGCTCCCACCTTACACTGCAGAAGTCTTCACCATATCCACGAGGCCCCGACCTATTGGTTTCCTCCTCCTCCCTCCCCTCAACTCCCATCACCTCTCTCAGTCCCCTGGCTCACTCTGCTGCAGCCACCCTGGCCTCCTTGCTGTCCTTTGAACATAACGAACACATTGCCATCTCAGGGCCTTTGTACTCGCTGTCCCTGAACGCACTGCCACCTCAGGGCCTTTGTACTCGCTGTCCCCGAACGCACTGCCACCTCAGGGCCTTTGTACTCGCTGTCCTCTCCTTCTCAATCAGGTCTTCTCAGGTGTCTGCGTGGCTTCTCCCACGCCTCTTTCAGGTCTCCGTTCAGATGTCAGCTTCACAGCCAGGCATTTGCTGACTACTCAAGCTAAAATAACTCCTGTCACCGTGTGGCCCCTCACTTGGTTTTATTTTTGTTCATAACACAACTACCTGACATAGATGATTATTAGTATTATTTTTGAGACAGACTCTTGCTCGGTCACCCAGGCTCGAGTGCAGTGGTGCAGTCTCAGCTCACGGTAGCCTCCACTTCCTGGGTTCAAGTGATTCTCCTGCCTCAGCCTCCCAACTGGCTGGGATTACAGGTGTATGCCACCATGCCCAGCTCATTTTTACATTTTTAGTAGAGATGGGGTTTTGCCACGTTGGCCAGGGTGGTCTCGAACTCCTGACCTCAGTTGATCCGCCCAGCTCAGCCTCCTAAAGTGCTGGGATTACAGGTGTGAGCCACAGCACCGGGCCTATTATTATTATTATTATTACTTTTTTTTTTTGAGATGGAGTCTCGCTCTGTCACCCAGGCTGGAGTGCAATGGTGTGATCTCAGCTCACTGCAAGCTCTGCCTCCCAGGTTCACACCATTCTCCTGCCTCACCCTCCTGAGTAGCTGGGACAACAGGCACCTGCCACCATGCCCGGCTAATGTTTTGTATTTTTAGTAGAGACGGAGTTTCACCGTGTTAGCCAGGATGGTCTTGATCTCCTGACCTCGTGATCCGCCCGTCTCGGCCTCCCAAAGTGCTGGCATTGCAGGCGTGAGCCACCACGCCCAGCTTATTATTATTTTTTGAGATGGAGTCTCCCTCTGTCACCCAGGCTGGAGTGCAGTGGCACCATCTCAGCTCACTCAACCTACACCTCCCAGGTTCGAGTGATTCTCCTGTTTCAGCCTCCCAAGTTGCTGGAACTACAGGTGTTCATCACCACGCCTGGCTATTTTTTGTAATTTTAGTAAAGATGCCGTTTCACTATCTTGGTCAGACTGGTTTCAAACTCCTGACCTCAAGTGATCTGCCCTTCTCAGCCTCCCAAAGTGTTGGGATTACAGGCATGAGCCACCGCGCCTGGCCCTCACATCAATTATTGTTGGTTTATATCCACGGGGCTTTTTGGACCTCCCCACTAGTGTGTCTGACTCCATGTGAATATGGAACCTGGCACCTGGAAGAGCACATGGTGTTTAAAACGTGTTGCTTCTCCTGTACCATCCTCACCATCCTTGGTGAGGGTGATATGGGGCGGGGTTGCTGAACTAGGAGGGTCCTGTGTGGGGTGGTGGGGTCAGAGGTGGGGGAATAAACTGGACAGATTGTGGCACCCAAGGGCAGAAGGAGCCTTTAGTGTCTGAAGGAATTGGGAGGAAATGCAGATTCCTGGGCCCACCCCCAGGGTTTCTGCTTGTGTATGGTTGGGACCCGACCTAGGAAGCTGCATCTTCAGAAGCACTTGTGGTAAGGATTATGTTCCCTGGCCATCACTGTGGGAAACACTGTTAGCTGGTTCGGAGTTTGCTGGGGCCACCGTGGTGATTGAGACACCTCCTGGCCCAGCCTGGGAGTCAGGGAGGGCTTCCTGCAGTGCAGGAGAGGGGATTGGAGCTGAGACCTGGAGGAGGACAGGGAATGAGCTGAGGGGAGAAAACCTGGGCTGTATCCCCAGTGCCTAGAACCCCATTTCCTGGCATCTCCCATTAAATTCACAAGCAGTCCCTGAAGATACAAGATGGATTAAAATGGCTCTGCCCCTCACAGGCTCCTGGTCTGTCACATAATCAACAGATCACACAGATGGTAACAGGGAGTGCCAGACACTGTTTGAAGCACCTTATATACATTAAATAGTTTAATTCCACAGCAACCCTGTAAGGTGGGAGCTCTTATTATCCCACTTTACTGATGGGGGAAGACCCAGAGAGGGCAAGTGCTTTGCCCAAGGACACACGAAGGATAAAGGCAGCTGGAATCTGAACGCAGAAGTACCCAGTGTGCAGCATGTGCTATGCTTAAGGTGTGAGGCCGCATTTGGGTTAGTTCTGGGAGGAAACAGGAGGTGGTCAGGGAAGGGCAGCTGGGTAAGGGGAAGGAGGACGAATGTTTCTGTCCTTCTTTGTGGGATCCTAGACAAGCCTCAGTTTTATCCTCTGTATAATGGGGATGGTCATAATACCCAGCAGAGAGCAGAATTTAGGGTGAGTCATTCATTGGGTTATTAAGTGTGCATGGTTCTTATCTAAGGCAAAACGCCTTTGAGAGACAGAGGGAGAGGGAGTCTGGATGCCCCAGGGGGAACTGGGGTGCCGCAGTGTACGCTGTAGAGATTTCATTGCTTGGTTCCCCAGAGGGCTTTTCTGTCTCTACATTCCCTGGGGACAATGTGGAAGGCTTTGGTCTGTATTCTGGGGCAGTGAAGGGGGAGTTCTATCCAGCCTCAATTCACCCACGTGGTGGGGAGGTGAGGTCAGAATGGGATCGGGAAGGGGGTCATCCAGGCCAGGCCACGTGTGAGAATGTGGGGCGGAGGTCTGCTGCAGGGGAGAGCCCAGCTAGGGTATGACTGGGCTGGAATATGTGTTGGTGGTGGTGGGGAGCTGCAGAGTGTGGGGAAACAGCCATCAGGTGGGGGCTGCCAAGGGCAGTGATTTGCCCATGTCTGGTATGGGAGGTAGTGATGTAAATTTGTCTTTGGTGAGCGCAGCGTGGAGAGTTTTCAGCTCCAGCCCCGGGGTAAGAGCTGTGAAATCTGTGAGCTATCCGGGGAGAGCCATTTGGAAGGTGGAGCCAGGGGTGGTGATGTAACACTGGAGGGGAAAGGGGTCATCCTAGTGAATGATGAGAGGGAGAGAACTGGGGGCTGAAACACTCAGTTTAAGTGTGCCGGCGCCGTGATGTCATGAGGCCCGAGAACTGGGTCAGGTGTGTGGGCCAGGATGGGGTCTGGGGGGCAGCCGCACAGTGCTCGCAGGGATGGGGTGGTGACGTCATGGGTTGGTGAGGGCGGGGCCTCGAAGGCACCGCTGGGATGCGTGAGGTCAGGAAGGAGGCAGAGGCTGAGAAGAGGAGCTAGCTGGGAGAGGCTCAGGACTGGAATGAAATCAGCCACCAGGATGAACCACTGGTCATTCCGAAGCAAGGATGGAGGATGCAGGTAGAGGGACAGGGTCAGCGGTGGGAGGGGAGAGAGGGCTCAGGGTCC